AATATATAAATAAATATATGAATATATAAATAAAGATATAAATATATAAATAAAGATATGACTATATAAATAAAGATATAAAGATATAAATATATAAATAAAGTGTGAATTAACGTTAACAACCTACCGGCATCGGCATTAACTGTTACAATATGAATATATAAATGATAACGTTACATATATATGGTAAACTCGTATAGTCTAAGTATTTCATGCATGTTATTACTATTTACTATTATTCAAAGAATTCTTTAGAAAGTTATTAAAATAAAATAATATAAAATAAAGTTCCGGTCCAGGATTTTTTTCCCGGGTGGTGAAGTTATGTCCCGCCCTACCCTGGCTCTGATTGGCTAGTTCTCGTTGCTTTCATTGGTTTGGTTGGTTAGGTTTGGTAATGGAGAACGGGATTGGTCAGGATAAGGGTAATAATGTCAGGGTCAGCCAATCAGAGGCAGAGGAGGGCGGGAGTTGGCTTCGTCATCCTGGGAAAAAAATATCGCCGCTGCTGACGGCTAGGCTAGGCTAGTACAAAACGCCCCCAGCTACCTGCTCCCGTTATCACCGCTCCCGTTAATGTCGCCCTTCATCCCCGAGGAGCGTTTGACTCACCGGTACACACAGATTTTATAACAACGTATTTATTCGGTGATATCGATCGACGATCAGGTTGATTTGGTCCACCGACCGGCCCCCAGTCTGAGCTAACTGTTAAGCTAACAGTTAAGCTAACAGTTAGCCTCACAGCCAAAATGGCGGACAACGAGGATGACAGCGGTTCGACCAGAACAATAACAGTCCCCGCTCAGTGCGTCCAACCCGGGGAGAGTGTGATGGCAGTGTCCGCCGCTCAGTGCGTCCAACCCGGGGAGAGTGTGATGGCAGCGTCCGCCGCTCAGTGCGTCCAACCCGGGGAGAGTGTGATGGTAGTGTCCGCCGCTCAGTGCGACCAACCCGGGGAGAGTGTGATGGCAGTGTCCGCCGCTCAGTGCGTCCAACCCGGGGAGAGTGTGATGGCAGTGTCCGCCGCTCAGTGCGACCAACCCGGGGAGAGTGTGATGGCAGTGTCCGCCGCTCAGTGCGTCCAACCCGGGGAGAGTGTGATGGCAGTGTCCGCCGTCAGTGCGTCCAACCCGGGAGTGTGGACTCAGTGCGTCCAACCCGGGGAGAGTGGGCCGCCGTCAGTGCGCCAACCCGGGGAAGTGTATGGCAGTGTCCGCGTAGTGCGAACCCGGGAGAGATGGAGTGTCCGCCGCCCAACCCGGGGAGAGTGTGATGGCAGTGTCCTCGTGCGTCCAACCCGGGGATGAGTGTCCAACCCGAGAGTGTGTGAGTGTCCGCCGGTCAGTGGTCCAACCCGGAAGGGATGGCAGTGTCGCGGTCGTGCGCCAACCCGGGAGAGTGTATGGAGTGTCCGTAGTGCGTCCAACCCGGGGAGATGGCAGTGTCCGCCGGTCAGTCCGGTTCCGCGTTCCAACCCGGGAGAGTGTGATGGTAGTGTCCGCCGCTCAGTGCGACCAACCCGGGGAGAGTGTGATGGCAGTGTCCGCCGCTCAGTGCGTCCAACCCGGGGAGAGTGTGATGGCAGTGTCCGCCGCTCAGTGCGTCCAACCCGGGGAGAGTGTGATGGTAGTGTCCGCCGCTCAGTGCGACCAGAACAGTCATCCCGGTGAGGGTTCGCAGACACTGCTCGGTGCTGAGAGCGGTCAGCCCGGGGACGGTTTACCGGCAGGGTCCGGGGCTCAGCTGGCGGACTTCTTGCAGAGCTGTCAGGAGCAGAAGAGCCTCCTGGTGGGCTCAGAATTCACCGGGACGGACCTGGTCAACACCACCATCCTGTACGTGCAGCCGGACGGCAGCCTGGTGGAGGGGTCCGGGCTCACGGCCGAGGAGCAGCAGGCTCTGCTGGACCAGCTCACCAAGCAGCAGATCGTCCAGGTCTCAGACTCTGAGGCTGTCCAGCTGCTCCAGCAGAGCCAGCTGCTCAAAACCATCCCGGTCCACAATGCGGCCCTGGACCCCAGTCAGCTGCAGCAGGTCATCAACCAGGTCACCAAGTCCCAGCAGCAGGTCCAGGTCCCCCAGCAGATCCTGAAGCAGCAGGTCCAGGTCCAGCAGAAGCAGCAGAAGCAGGTTCAGGTCCCTCAGAAGACCAGCACCCAGAACAATGCTTCCCAGCAGCTGAAGAGCGTGGCCCAGCAGGTTGCCATGCAGACCGGTAGCTCGGTCCAGGTGGTCCAGAAGAAGGTGAGTCAGTTTGGTGGACTGAGACGGATCCAGACCGACAGTACAGACCTGACCCTACTGTAGTCCGTTATAATGTGACTATCACACTGTTAAATATAACACACACTGTTCACTGTCTGTCGTTCAGTGTCATTTTAGAAATATATTAACAGGATTAAACTGAATTTAACAGTTTAATCTAGAATATAAACATATATCTGCAAAAAAAAGAAAATACTGATAAATAATAATAATAATTAATAAATAAAGAAATATTCTTTAAATAAGCAGTCATTTTATATTTTTTTACAGTTTACAGGCTGTTTTTGTAGTTTTATTAATATTCCCATGAACTTATACACAGACTCCCGTAGACTTACAGTACGTCAGTATAACGCCATCGTCTAATCAATACTTAATAATATATTATATTACAGAAGTTGCCTCTGTCCTCTGTATGATTGATTCTGTAGATCAATGGATCAAACATTGATCAATGTGATCATCTGGTTTCTGTCCTTTCAGTCAGAACCCGTCAGAATCCAGATCCAGGCTCCGCCCAAGCAGGAAGTGAAGCTTGGCTCCGCCCCTCAACAGAAGAGCATCGCTGTGAGTCATCCGCAGGTGAAGCTGTCGGCCAATGGCAGCGTGAGCAGCGCTCAGATCATCCACATCCAGCCTGTGGTTGGTCAGCAGGGGCAGCAGTTCTTCCTGCAGCAGCGCCCGGGCGACCCCCCCATCCAGCTGCTGCTGCAGAGCCCCGCCCCCGTCGTCAGCTCTCTTCTCCCATTGGTCCACAAGCTCACCGGTCAAATGACATCAGCGGGCGCTGCTTCCAGTCCAGGCCAGAAACCTTCAGTGTCGCCCATCAGAGTACAGACCCCGTCCACCGTGAAGACCGCACTACCCTCCGCTGTCAAGACCCCGCCCACCCTCGCCACTAAAACCATCAGCATCCCGCCAGTTAAATCCCCCACTAACGGCACGGCATCCACCGCCAGTAAGAACCTCATGAAACCACCTGCGGTCCCAGTACAGACCGCCACACCTGCTGCTGCCCGACCTGCCTCAGTAGCCCCGCCCACAGCAGGGAAGGACAGAGATAGGGAAAAAGAGCGGGAGAAGAAGATGAAGAAGAGAGAAAAGAAGGCGCCGAAGGTCCAGACCAGATCCGGTCGAGTCTCCAGACCTCCGAAGTACAAAGCAAAAGACTACAAGTTCATAAAGACGGAGGACCTGGCGGACAGCCACCAGTCCGACTCCGACGATTACTCCGACATGAGCGTGGAGGAGGAGGGGGAGGATGGGAGGAAGGACGGCCCCGCCTCTTCCTCATCCCCCTCCCTCACCTACAGCCACAAGTCCCGGTCCCACCGCTGCCAGACCTGCGACAAGGCCTACATTGGTTCTGGAGGCCTGAACCGCCACTACAAACTGAATCCCACACACGGAGAGCCTGACCCGCCCGGCGACCCGCCCAGCAACACGCCACGCCCCCTCAGAGACGACAGCCAATCGAAAGAGACGAGAGCAGGAGGCGTCAGATCGAAGGAGGAGGAGGAGGAAGAGGAGGCGGAGGAAGAGGAGGAGGAGGAGGACAAACCTGCTGCCACGGCAACAAACAGAGTAAGTCACCGATCCACCAATCAGAGCTCAGATCAGTTCACCTGTACGGTCCGAACCAGTTTCTCTCTGTCTGTCCTCAGGTGGAGGGGGGTCCAGCAGCGGCTGTGGGACTCAGGGGCCTTCATCACCGCGGCCCCGGCCGGCCCCGAGGACGAGGAAGAGGAAGAGGCAGGGGGCGTGGCCGAGGGCGGGGCCGACCACTGGGACCGCCTCCGAAGGTGAGATCACTTTAAACTGGATCTTCACCACTACAGTGTCACACCTGTACACTACAGTGAGGAATAATCGGTTAATCTGATTGGCCGATTCTCTCAGGTGACGGTGGGTCTCGTCAGTAGACGGGGTCGGCGCGGTCGTCCTCCGAAGCTCGCCGTCCCCACGGTAACCGCAGAGCAGCAGGTGGAGAGGAGACGAGACCGACTGCAGGAGGTGAGAGGAAGGAAGTGGAGGTGTGGATTTTCAAAGTAAAGTTTGATGCAATGTGGTGAATGTTTCCATGACAACCATTCGTGTTTACAGGTGGTGGAGCAGTGCGAGGATGAGGAGCTGATGGACATCGTTCTGCCCCGTCTGACGAAGGTGTTGAGTCTCTGGGAACTGCTGCTGGCAAAGGTACAGTGTGTGTGTGTGTGTACAGTGTGTGTGTGTGTGTGTGTGTGTGTGTGTGTGTGTGTACAGTGTGTGTGTGTGTGTGTGTGTACAGTGTGTGTGTGTGTGTGTGTACAGTGAGTGTGTGTGTACAGTGAGTGTGTGTGTGTGTGTGTAGTGTGTGTGTACAGTGTGTGTGTGTGTGTGGTGTGTGTACAGTGAGTGTGTGTGTGTGTGTGTACAGTGAGTGTGTGTGTGTGTGTGTACAGTGAGTGTGTGTGTACAGTGTGTGTGTGTGTGTGTGTGTGTGTACAGTGTGTGTGTGTGCTGTGTGTGTGTGTGTGTGTGTGTGTGTGTGTGTGTGTGTGTACAGTGAGTGTGTGTGTGTGTGTGTCTGTGTACAGTCTGTGTGTGTACTGTGTGTGTGTGTAGTGTGTGTGTGTGACAGTGTGTGTGTGTGTGTGTGTGTGTGTACGTACAGTGAGTGTGTGTGTACAGTGAGTGTGTGTGTGTGTGTGTCTGTGTACAGTGTGTGTCTACTGTGTGTGTGTACAGTGTGTGTGTGTGTGTGTGTACTGTGTGTGTGTGTACAGTGTGTGTGTGTGTGTGTGTGTGACAGTGTGTGTGTGTGTACAGTGTGTGTGTGTGTGTGTACAGTGTGTGTGTGTGTGTACTGTGTGTGTACAGTGTGTGTGTGTACTGTGTGTGTACAGTGTGTGTGTGTACAGTGTGTGTACAGTGTGTGATTAGTGTGTGTGTGTGTGTGTGTGTACAGTGTGTGTGTGTACAGTGTGTGTGTACAGTGTGTGTGTGTAAGTGTGTGTGTACAGTGTGTGTGTGTGTGTGTACAGTGTGTGTACAGTGTGTCTGTGTGTGTGTGTGTGTGTGTGTGTGTGTGTGTGTGTGTGTGTGTCCTCTCCGCCACTGTGATGTTTTCCGTCTTGGCTGTTATTCAGAACAGTTTTGTGTCCTCTGTTGGTTCCAGGTGGAGCGTGGCGGTCCAGCTCGGACTCGGTTTCCAGACATTTACCGCGAGTTTGAGTCCCTGCAGGCTCAGGTGAGACAGGCAGCTCAGGATTACATCATCAGCCCTCAGGGTGGAGCTATGCCGCTGGAGGTCAGGAACATCGAGGTGAGAAGTTCTACTGCGTTCCACTCTGGCGTACCGTACTTTATTGTACTGAACTGGCACTGTACCGTACCGTACCGTACCGTACTTTATTGATAGTACTGTACTGTGTTTTTCAGGTCGCCCGGTCTCTGGGGATCCTGGACGAGGTGAACAGGATGAAGGTGGTTCCTGGAGCGTCTCCCAGCTCCAGTTTGACCAATAAGAACGTCCGATACATGGAGGTAAACTTACCATCAGCACAGTCTGAGAGCAGGATCCTGGATCCAGACCTGGATCCTGGATCCAGACCTGGATCCTGGTTTAGAGCAGTATCTCTTTAATGTGTTTGCACAACCTGGGTCTGTTACCTGATAGAAACCAGGACTCTGTGGCAGCTAAACACCTGATCCAGGTTCGGTCTGATTCAGTCAGAAACTCTGTTTCCCAGAATTCCAAGATGCTGCCTCCTTCAAAGAGATTTAAGATGGAGAACAGCATCCCAGTTCACCAGAACGGCCTCGAGACGCCCAGAACAGGTACACACTGCTACTACACACTGCTACTACACACTGCTACTACACAACTACACACTGCTACTACACACTGCTACACACTACTGCTACACACTACTGCTACTACACAACTACACACTGCTGCTACACACTGCTACTACACACTGCTACACACTACTGCTACACACTGCTACTACACAACTACACACTGCTACACACTACTGCTACACACTGCTACTACACACTGCTACTACACACTGCTACTACACACTGCTACTACACAACACACACTGCTACACACACTGCTACACACTACTGCTACACACTACTGCTACACACTATACACAACTACACACTGCTCACACACTGCTACTACACACTGCTACACACTACTGCTACACACTGCTACTACACAACTACACACTGCTACACACTACTGCTACACACTGCTACTACACACTGCTACTACACACTGCTACACACTGCTACACACTACTGCTACACACTACTGCTACTACACAACTACACACTGCTACTACACACTGCTACACACTGCTACTACACACTGCTACACACTGCTACTACACACTGCTACTACACAACTACACAACTACACACTGCTACTACACAACTACACACTGCTACTACACACTGCTACACACTACTGCTACACACTACTGCTACACACTACTACACACTGCTACTACACACTGCTACTACACACTGCTACCACACACTGCTACACACTACTGCTACACACTACTGCTACACACTGCTGCTACACACTGCTACACACTGCTACACACTACTGCTACACACTGCTGCTACACACTGCTGCTACACACTACTGCTACACACTACTACACACTACTGCTACTACACACTGCTACACACTACTGCTACACACTGCTACTACACACTGCTACTACACACTGCTACACACTACTGCTACACACTGCTACACACTGCTACTACACACTACTACACACTACTACACACTACTGCTACACACTGCTGCTACACACTGCTACTACACACTACTGCTACACACTACTACACACTGCTACACACTGCTACTACACACTACTACACACACTACACTACTACTGCTACACACTACTGCTACACACTACTGCTACACACTACTGCTACACACTACTGCTACACACTACTACACACTGCTACACACTACTACACACTACTGCTACACACTACTGCTACACACTGCTACACACTACTGCTACACACTGCTACTACACACTGCTACACACTGCTACACACTACTGCTACACACTGCTACTACACACTACTACACACTACTGCTACACACTGCTACTACACACTGCTGCTACACACTGCTGCTACACACTGCTACTACACACTACTGCTACACACTACTACACACTGCTACACACTGCTACTACACACTACTACACACTACTACACACTACTGCTACACACTACTACACACTACTACTACACACTACTACACGCTACACACTACTGCTACACACTACTGCTACACACTACTACACACTACTGCTACACACTACTGCTACACACTGCTACTACACACTACTGCTACACACTGCTACACACTACTACACACTACTACACACTACTGCTACACACTGCTACACACTGCTACACACTGATAATTAAAATAATTGTTGATGACTCGTCTGTTTCCACTTGTAGACAGTAAGACTGTAGGTACTGCAGTTCCGGGTCAGAGGTCACATAACTGCTGTTGCTTCATAAAGCACATGTGGACGGTGTGAAAGCTGAAGCTGTGTTGGTGTAGTTGCTGCAGTTAGCCTCTGGAGGGCAGCACCGTCACTGGAACTGTTGATACTTTAAACTGAACTGTCTTTTCCCTACTTTTCTTTCAAAGGTGTGACCCCTGTGACCTCCTCTGTGACCTCCTCTGTGACCCCCTCTGTGACCTCCTCTGTGACCCCCTCTGTGACCTCCTCTGTGACCCCCTCTGTGACCTCCTCTGTGACCTCCTCTGTGACCTCCTCTGTGACCTCCTCTGTGACCCCTGTGACCTCTGTGACCTCCTCTGTGACCCCTGTGACCTCCTCTGTGAAGCCCTGCTCAGTTTCTGTGTCCCCTCTGGTGTTTCCTGCTGGACCCAAACTGACCACCTCCTCTGACTCCAGGTGAGCTGGCCACGCCCCCTGTCAAACATTAATGTGTCAGAGCTTTCAGCCAATCAGTGGCGTGTGTATAAACCCCGCCCCCGTATTAAAAAGGCAACGTTCTTTGTCTTTAGCTGCTTTGAGACGCCATCCACGCAGACCCTGCCCCCCGTCACGCTCATGGAGGTGACTGCAGGTGAGGACCCTGGGGAGGAGCCTCTGCCAGCAGCCCAGAACCAGGTCCTGAGCACCAATGACATCACAGCCCAGATGAAGGAACTGGAGGAAGCTCTGGGTTCGGGTCCTGAGACCGCCGCAGACTCAAAGACTCCTGAGTCCAGCTCAGTTCAGACTCCTTCTCAGCTCCAGCAGCGGGGCTCCTCCCAGTCCGAGTCTAGCTCCACGGACCCCTGTGAGCCCAAAGAGCTGCAGGAGGGTCAGGAGATCTACATCCAGACCGAGGGGCTGACGGTGCAGCTCGCAGAGCCCGGATTAGACCGGATCGTGATCGTCAACGGGCCGGATGGGACGACTATGCACATCCAGACCCCAGAGGGGGTTCCCCTAGAGGCGGTCCAGGCCCTGCTGGGCATCGAAGCTTCTGACGGCGCCAAAGAAGCTCCACAGTGAACCCGGACTGAGCAAGACCAGAACCTGGTCCTGAATGTACAAGGTGGTCTGAGCCCCCAGGTGCTGGTAAACACCTGGACCACTCTGCCTCTGTGGGGGCGGAGCCTAAACTCACCTGTCGGTCTGTCCAGTCAGACTCAGTAGCTCGTGTTTGCTGCAGTGCCCCCATCAGGACAGACATTGTACCTGTGGGTGTAACGAACACAGCGGCCTGCAGGGGGCGCTGACACCTGAGGACAAACTGCTCCGTTAATATCGCCGTTGCCATGACAACGCGTTCCTTCTTACTTCCTGTTTTAAAAACAAACACCTGGAGAGCGAGGCTGCCGCCTGTAGTCACCTGTAGGCTGATGATGATGATTATTATTATTATTATTATTATTATTATTATTTAGTGCTCATATCTAATATCTAGACTGTTATCCTCGGAGAAAACTCTATTGTGATCAGAACTTAAAGGTCAACAGGAAGTTGTGAGCTGATCAATAACACTGACCTCAGGTTAACAGATGCTATATCTTAATATGAGCCACAGATAACCGGCGACCCGCAGTGTCCTCTCCGGGCTCCCGTATTCAGATCAACAAACCTTATTTATATTCTCGCCGTCTGATTGGTCCGTTCAGTTCTCACCTGTGATGATGTCAGCGGCGGCTGGTTTTTAAGGAATCTGGAGTGATTGTAAATTTGTACACTTTTTTTTTTTCAGTGTTTCCATATTTGGATTTGTTGTTGATTTGAAACTAGAAGCTGATTGGTTGGCTGTTTATATGTAGATAAATATGAAAAGTTTAAAAAAAGTTGCACTATTTTATTACTTTTTATAAAACTTCACAGAAACATTTTCCAAACGTAACGTTGGGCCTCGTTTGTAGTCGATGTGAGGACGGACTGGAAGCAGTCGGGAGGAAACTTTATTGATTTGTCATGTTGATGCATTAAACACATTTCATGTTCCTCCAATAAACTGATGTCATCAGACATAAACAGGAAGTGTCGTCTGGCGTTTGTGTCTCTGAGCGTCTTCTGTTATTGTATTAAACCTCAGTCAACATGCTATGTGCTAGGCTAATCAACCACATGTTGATGGGTCACAGATAAAATACCGTAAAACCTCTAATAATAGCCCAGGCGTTTATTTGCTTTAATCACTGAACTCCCCC